GGCGGGGGACAGCAGTCCCACTAATGAGATTCTTTTCCAGGTTCGCAATTTACATCTGGGACAGACGTCCCCCCTCCGCCCCCCATCTAGCTATTGAGCTGGTGGAGCTGATGCAGGCAGTGAAGGGCGGAGGGGGCTGGGGGGGCTCCCTAAAAGAAAAAACAATCCCACCGCCTCCTCCAGCACCCCCTTTACCAGGCTAAGCATCAACACACAGACCGTCCTGACACTGTTAATCAACTGAGCAGTGTGTTACCAATGCACCAATTCACCCCTGTCTGGGCACTGTGCCCAGTGATTTCAAGCCTGCCCAGTTTCTCAGACTATTCAAGCTAGTTGTTGTTATTATTATTATTATTATTATTATTATTATTATTATTATTATTGTTGTTGTTGTTGTTGTTGTTGTTGTTGTTGTTGTTGTTGTTGTTGTTGTTGTTTTTGAACCTCTTTGTCAACTGTGTTAATATTAATTATATATAAAAGTTCATAATCTTTCAGTGTATATATAAGCATTTTCATACACAAAATGTGTCGAAATTTAGTTGAGCTGAAGATGGATACGTTGCTTGTCCATGCCCTGATATTCCATACCATTTGATAATAATATATTGATGCATCATTTGATTATGAGTCTCTCCTCTGAAAAATCTTCAAGGTCACAGGCTTTCTATTGCATTCTGTCAGCTCTACCCTGGTCCAAGTGCATAGATAGTTTGTCTTTAATCAGTCGAGGTCTCAGACCCTACCTTAGCCAGACATTACCAGCCAAGTCAAAGACCTCCGCCCTTCTTCGGAGAGAAGATCTGCCCTCTGACCTTAGCATGGACCCTTTCGCTGGACCTTCTCTCTGACCTTTAACCTCTGTGTTTGCATGTCCCAGGGTTTACGGGTACCATGTGTCAAATAGACATAGACGAGTGCGCCAGCACGCCTTGTCAGAATGGAGCAAAATGCTACGATCGGCCCAATGGGTTTGAGTGCCGCTGTGCTGAAGGTAAGCGCTTCATTACTTAACAATTGTTAAGCAGAAGAGCCAAAGACAAAATAGCAGATGAGCCTTAACCAGTTGTTCAGGCCTTTGTTAAGCATTCTGTGTTATGGGGAGTTTCTCTGGGTGTCTGCTGATGAAACAGACTGACTTGAGGCCCCTAATCCCCCTCTTTCCCTCGTCGGCTCTCAGGACCATGGGGTCACTGAGGACCAGCAGTTGCCAAGAAAAGAGGCTTGGTCATTACCCTGACATCTGTTCATCTTTAAACCCCCTTACAACACCTTATGCTGCATTTTAAATTTAATTCTTTAACATTTAGTTATGTTCGTGTTAAAAAAGCATTCATCATGTAAAGCTTCTCTCAAAGTCTGTATGTAAAGCTTGACTGTAGCTATATGTTGATATTTAATATGTTTGTTTGGACCTGTGCTTACTGAGGAGCACGGTCATTGTTTCAGTGGCCAGCTGCTTGGTGTTCCTTGTGTTTTTGGGCCCCTTCTGTTGAGTGAAGTGGCCCTGTTTGACGTGGTGCAGTCTATTGTTCCCTCCAACTCTGAGAACAATAGCAAGACTGGGAGGCCTGTGTAGGGCCCTTCTTTAGTCCTTTGCCCATCTCAGCATTGCTCTAAACACATACCACACACACCAAGTTTCTTGTCTGTTACACAGACACCGTTGATATGGAAACCACAGTGGTCAAAAGCCCAACTGTAGAAGCTTTTATGAAAAAGCAAGCATACAAAACATGGAAAAAAGAGGGAGAAAGTTAAACAAAAAACTGTTATGCTAAAGAGAAAGAGGAACATTTAACATTCGCACACACACACACACACACACACACACACACACACACACACACACACACACACACACACACATATGTATATATATAAAAGCACTTCTTATTCTTAATTCTTAATGTACTTTTTAATTCAGAATATTAATTTATTCTTAATGAATTTTTTCCCCTCTATAGGTTATGAGGGCACACTTTGTGAAAGTAACATCAACAACTGTCAGCCCGACCCATGTCACCATGGTACCTGCATTGATGGCATTGCCAGCTACACCTGTAACTGTGAACCTGGTTACACAGGGTATCGCTGTGAGAATCAATTAAATGAGTGCCACAGCAACCCTTGTCAGAATGGGGGCAAGTGTATGGACCAGGTCAACAAGTACATCTGCCAGTGCCAACATGGAACCTCGGGTAAGAGAAAAATCCCACAACATATCACGTACTTGTACTTTGTTAACTCAAGCCATTGATTTATTCCCTTTATTAATGCCGTTGATCTTCAACATAACAATAATGCTGTGACAATATATAAAATGCTATAGAATTAGACTCTTTATTATACTTTATCATAAAGAATGTATATAGAATTTTGTTCTGAAATGTAATGAAAGATTTTCTGCATTGTTAAAATTGTTATAATGTCTACAGTCTTAATATAAAAGTTCTTTTTGCACCCAGGTACAAATTGCGAGATAAACTTTGATGACTGTGCCAGCAACCCATGTGACTATGGCATCTGCAAAGATGGCATTAATCGCTATGACTGTGTTTGCAAACCTGGCTTCACTGGTAAGGTCTTGTGAAAATAACAGAGTGAATAAATCCTCACTGAAAATGTTGACAAAGAACTCTAATTATGTATAACATTTCTCTTGCAGGTCCCAAATGTAATGTGGAAATAGATGAGTGTGCATCTAGCCCCTGCAGGAATGGAGGAAAATGTATAGATGAAGAGAATGGATTTCACTGCCTGTGTCCTGATGGCTTTAAGCCTCCTTACTGCTACTCTCAGGTGGATGAGTGTGGCAGCGGCCCATGCGTCCATGGCTCGTGCAGGGACGACATTAATGGGTATATACATTTAACAGCTTTTTTAAACTTTAAAGTGATTCAGATGGGCACATAGGAAACATAATCTTGAAATGGGCTCCATCCAAGACTGTGGTTAATCCTATAACTTATACATCAGGTCAATGTTATTTCATTCTTACAAACTGAACGTTTTTGGCTTATGAACTGTTCTCTGGTATTTCCAGTTACCGCTGTGACTGTGAGCCGGGATGGGTGGGAAAGAACTGTGACCTGGATAGGAACGACTGTCTTCCAAGTCCCTGCCAGAATGCTGGCACATGCATTGATCAACTCAATGGTTTCACCTGCAAGTGTCGCCAAGGCTTCAGAGGTGAGAGGGCATCAAAGTAGCCAAACACACCATCAACCTTGAAATGTTCAGTAGAAAGAGCAGAATACACATGTATAGCACATGCAGCAGAGAAGAAATAGCTAAACATATCTGATGTCCTCCATGAATTTTCATCTTAGGCTATGGCAATTGTCTACCTCCCCCTAGTGGTACATAAAAATACGCTAATCCATACATATATTTGTCTCCTTTTTCCTTTCACAGGTAACCTCTGCCAGGTGAACATCAATGAATGTGAGTCCAGTCCCTGTCTGAACAAGGGCACTTGTGTAGATGGCGTGGCAAGTTTCACTTGCCTGTGTGAGCTTCCTTACAGTGGACCCACTTGTGCTGAAGTCCTTACTCCTTGCTCTCCTAATCCCTGTGCCAATCATGCTGCCTGCATCCACACACCAGATTACATGGGTTATCAATGCAAATGCCCACCAGGGTGGCAAGGTTCGCAAATTTTGTATTCAGTCATCTCAGTGCTTAGCATAGATAGTCTAATTGGAAGCTTACAGCTATATCTTGTGAAACTCTTCCTTTACAGGTCAGTTGTGTAACAGAGATGTGAATGAATGTATCTCAAACCCCTGCAAAAACCGTGGGACTTGCGCTAACACGCTCGGAGGGTTTGTGTGCTCTTGCAGAGCAGGATATACTGGGCTAACCTGTGAAACAGACATCAATGACTGTTCACCTAGTGAGTTGCTGTTTACACTTACAGTTATCATATAATTATTAAATGACCGTTACTAATAAATAAAATGCCAAATTCATGTGCAGGTACTGTATTTGCCCAAAGCTGTTTTCTTCTCTTTTGCTTTTAGATCCCTGCCTAAGTGGAGGTTCCTGTACAGATGGTGTGGACTTCTTCCACTGTAGCTGTCTGCCAGGCTTTACAGGGTCTCATTGTTCTGTAGAGATCAATGAATGCCAAAGTTCCCCTTGCAAAAATGGAGGCACTTGCACAGATTATGTTAACTCCTACACCTGTACCTGTATGCCTGGGTTTACTGGCATCCACTGCGAAACAAACATCCCTGATTGTACTGAAAGGTGTGTATCTGGAGCTATATCATCTACTCAAAAAAACAATCTAGCTTTACAATACAACATAAAGTGAATATAAAATAAATTTTTAGGTAAAATGAAGTATAAGCTTACATTTTCACACATGTCCACAGCTCTTGCTTCAATGGGGGGACATGCACAGATAAAATCAATGGATATTCCTGTACTTGTCGCTCTGGCTTCACCGGGTCCCACTGCCAGTATGAAGTCAATGAGTGTGACTCCCAGCCCTGCCTCAATGGAGGCATTTGTCAGGATGCCCTGGAGTCATTCCGTTGCTCCTGCCCCAAGGGCTATACTGGCAACCGTTGTCAGGTACAAATATTTAAATGCACCCCTGAAATTTCACGTTTAGGACTTTAATCGTCATACACAAATAAAACAAATAAATTCTAAATTCAGTCACTCTCTTCCTTACATAGACGCCAGTTGATTGGTGCAGGCGCGCATCTCCATGTCATAATGGAGGACGCTGCCGTCAAAAGGATGCCTCATTCATCTGTGAATGTACTGATGGCTGGTCTGGCCGTTACTGTGACATCCCTAGAGTCTCCTGTGAAGCAGCTGCCCGCCAAAGAGGTATTTTAATGTTGGGTACAATTTGATGTAACCTCTGTCTGCGTTTGTGACTAAGTTACTGATGTAAACTTTGCTCACAAATCTATGTTATTAGGGCTCCAGACGGATGAACTATGCCACCATGGTGGTCACTGTGTTAATACCGGGAATACTCACTATTGCAAATGTCCTAATGACTACACTGGAAGCTATTGCGAAAATCAAGTGGATCATTGTGAAGACAAACCTTGTCGCAATGGCGCCACCTGCAGGGGATATGTGGGAGGATACCAGTGTGATGTAAGTTGCTTTGTTTTAACATGTTCTTTTCCTTTTAATTGTCAGATTTCAAAACAGTCTGGGTTTCTTTTTTGCTTTCAAAAATTAATTGGTGTGTCATTACAGTGTATGCCAGGTTATACCGGAAAGGACTGCGAGATAGAAATCAACGAGTGCCAGTCTCATCCCTGCCAGAATGGAGGCACTTGCATTGATTTGGTGGGACACTATATCTGCTCCTGTCCCCCTGGCACCCTGGGTATGTAAGCACGTATAAAACAAAACCCTATGCTTACTAGTGAATACTTTGGTGGCAGATTTATTTTCTTATGTATGGATCACTTTGGTAATAGCAATATCACTTTCTCACTTAGTTGTATGCATGTATAATGTTATCACAATTAATTGGGCCTCATGTTTATTGCACCTTCACAGAGGGCCTATTATAGAGTAGAAGGCATCCAGGTGCTGCATGTTAAAGGGTTATAATTCTCCTTATCTTGGGAAGCAGATTTGGGATGTAAATCTTTAGGTAGCAGCTGAGTACATAGCAAAGTCGTAGTTTCCATGTTAGGGGGAAGGTTTTCAAGGATGAGCTGAGCTGAAAGAAAATAGACTCACATGATGTGTGGAGGAATTTTCTTTGTCGGTGAGTTTGGTCAAGTCATATAAGACATGAGCGAACCACGCCCATCTGCTTAGGTGTTTGACTGGAACGTGTTTCTCCATATTGCAATATGTTATTAAACCCACTTCAAATAATGCTCGCCGGTGTTTGCAGTTTATTTTTAAAAACTTCCACGACAATACACTTACATAACCGTACATGACAACAAAATAAATATCTCATGTATACGAAGAGTTTATAATTACCCTGTCCTTTTAAAGGTGTTCTCTGTGAGATCAACGAAGATGACTGTGCTCCACACCCGAGGCTACGTAATGCTCCTCCTAAGTGCCTAAACAATGGCACCTGTGTAGACAGAGTAGGTGGATATCGCTGCAACTGTCCCCCTGGTTTCACAGGAGAAAGATGTGAAGGAGACATAAATGAGTGTCTCTCTCAGCCCTGCATCCCTTCCAACAGTCTTGATTGCATACAGTTGCCCAATGACTACCAATGTGTCTGCAAGCCCGGCTTCACAGGTTAGACACCTACGAACAATTCCCATTCTCCATGAACGTTCATCGTGCTTTTTTGTTGTTGTTGTTGTTGACCAAATGCAGAACTTTACTAACTATACCTTGTTTTTTAGGTCGGAGGTGTCAGAGCAGGTTCAGTGTGTGTGAGTCTCAGCCTTGTCAGAATGGAGGAGTCTGTTCAATAACTAGCAGCTCTTCTCAGGGATACACCTGCACATGCCAACTTGTAAGTGTAAATATGAAAAGCTTGTAATTTGGCCTCCTGGTTTTTAAATCACAGCATTCTTGATTTAAAGGTTCATATATCAACCTCCAAAAATTATGTCTCTCTTAGGGTTATGCAGGGCCTAATTGTGAAAGAAGCATGTCCTGTCGGGAGCTATCCTGCTACAACGGAGGTAGATGTTCACATACCCTAAGAGGGGCTCGTTGCACATGTCTACCAGGTTATGGTGGACCCCAGTGTCAGGATCGCAGCAATGATGGGTGCTCAGCCATGCCCTGCCGCAATGGAGGACTATGCACTGAAGAGACCAGCTTCCCATATTTCAACTGTCAGTGTATCAGTGGATGGAAGGGCAAACGATGTGAGCAGCGCAGCAGAACCACTGACCCTCCAGTCCCCTCATGCCCTCTGGCAGACTGTGCTGCCAAAGCTACAGATGGTTTTTGTGACAAACAATGTAATTCATTACCTTGTCACTGGGACGGCGGTGACTGCTCTCTAGCGATGAAGCCCTGGGATAAATGTGGAGACCCACACTGCTGGCGTGTCTTCAACAATAGCCAGTGTGACGAGTCCTGTAACAACGCTGACTGTCTGTATGACAACTTTGGCTGCAAAACTAAGGAGAACGTTTGCAAGTGAGTTAAAATTTTCAGTTTAAAGGATACTTGCCAGTATTTACAGAACTGAGAAAATTTAACGTCCTTAATCTTCTGTTTATATCATCTCCAGTCCAATATATGAAGCCTATTGCATCGACCACTATGCTGATGGAAAATGTGACCAGGGCTGCAACACAGAAGAGTGTGGTTGGGACGGCCTGGACTGTGCAACGAAAATTGCAGAAAAACTTGCTGAGAACGTCTTGGTTTTGGTTGTTCTAATGCCTCCAGAGGAGCTTCTTCGCACCGGGACAGTTTTTCTGCAGAAATTAAGTGCTATCCTACGCACTTCAGTCCGTTTCCGGCTAGACAGCAATGGAAAAGCTATGATCCAACCCTACACCCGCGAAAGTGCACGCATGAAGCGGGAGCTGGAAGTCATTGGGTCAGTCAGGCATACACTAAAATAAAAGCCTAAGCCTTTCCTGTAGATTGTACATTGCACTAAACTCTTGCTTCTCTGCTGTTTCTGTAGCTCGATAGTCTATGTAGAAATAGACAACCGCTTATGCACGGAGGACTGCTTCTTTACAGCTGACAGTGCTGCAGAGTACCTTGGAGCTCTGTCAGCAGTAGAAGGGCTCCAGTTCCCCTACCCCCTTAAAGAAGTCCGTGGTGAGTAGGGATACTTATTATGCACAAATGAACTACAACTAATAAGTTGCAAATGTGTAATTATGTCTTTCCTTCTCCCCACAGGTGTAAAAATCAATGGCCCCCCTCAACCCCCCTTCTATCTGATGGTGGTGGGGATAGCTTCTGTTTTTCTTTTAGTCATCCTTATCATAGGTATGCTGATTGCTCGCAGGAAAAGAGAGCACAGCACCCTGTGGTTCCCTGAAGGCTTCTTCCTCAAGAAGGAGCCCAGCAGCAACAAAAACCGCAGAGAACCTGTGGGCCAGGATGCTCTGGGAATGAAGTAAGTTATGATAAGTGCCTTGAGGCAAGTATTGTTGTATTTTGGGAGTATATAATAAAAATTGAATTTAATTGAATTGAATTGAAGTGCTTTCATTTTTTTAATTAAATATTTACCCCTCTTGGATTTACATTGTTATTCATCTGCCAACAGGCACATGCCAAAAACTGTGGAAGAATCTCTCCTTGGAGATCATAGTGACCAGTGGATAGATACAGACTGCCCAGAACCAAAAAGGCTCAAGGTCAGTTTTGCAAGTGTTTTGCAGTTTACATAAACAGAAGCACAAGAGTGTGTATGTGTGTCTGTGTGTGTCTGTTTTTAAGCCACTTGCATTTAAAATGTTTTCTGTCTCTTTTTTTTTATCTTTTCCTGTAATTTCAGGTTGAGGAGCCAAGTATGCTTTCAGATGCTGAAGATACAGTGGACTGCAGACAGTGGACACAGCATCACCTTGCAGCTGCAGATATCCGTGTGCCTCCCACCATGCCCCTCACTCCACCCCAAGGAGAATTTGAAAGTGACTGCATGGATGTTAATGTCCGAGGCCCAGGTTGGTAGTGATATCAAGTAAAGTTTTCAAATTGAAACTGTCATTTGCAAATACCTTTTATACTTTCCTCTTACAGTATAATTCAGCAACCAAATAGACATAAACTCACGCACGCCTGTTTTCATCTCCTAACAGATGGTTTTACACCTCTGATGCTGGCATCATTCTGTGGAGGTGGCTTAGAGTCTGAGGTAGCAGACGAGGAGGAGAATGAAGAGTGTTCTGCCAACATCATCTCTGACCTAATCTACCAGGGTGCATCCCTTGCAGCCCAAACAGACCGCACTGGTGAGACAGCCCTTCACCTGGCTGCTCGCTACGCACGTGCTGATGCTGCCAAGAGGCTGCTGGATGCTGGAGCAGATGCCAATGCTCAGGACAACACGGGACGCACCCCACTACATGCTGCTGTAGCTGCAGATGCACAGGGTGTCTTCCAGGTAATCAACACATACTGGTTATTTGATATGCTACATTGGAATGTGATTGGAATACTGTAGCACATTTCTTGCACATTTAAATTGTTTAGAAATTAAAATTTAAAATTTAATCTGTCACACACTTCTAGATTCTGATCAGAAACCGAGCCACGGATCTTGACTCACGTATGTACGACGGATCAACAGCACTAATCTTGGCTGCACGGCTGGCAGTAGAGGGCATGGTAGAGGAGCTCATCACGTGCCATGCAGATGTTAATGCAGTTGATGAGTTGGGTAAGTATGTGCCATTTGTCACACATGTCCTAATGCATGCATTCCTAATTCATTCATTATACTGAAATCATTTCTCTTGATTTGAATTGTTTGTTGTGTCTCAGGTAAATCTGCCTTGCACTGGGCTGCTGCCGTCAATAATGTGGATGCCACTATTGCCTTGCTCAAGAATGGTGCAAACAAAGATATGCAAGATCTTAAGGTATGTCATTCTTCTATATTGTTTTTAAGACACTTTTTCACAACTGCACCTTTATACGTGTTTGTATCTAACAATCTCTGTTAATTTTTTTTTTTTTCAGGAGGAAACCCCACTGTTTCTTGCAGCCCGTGAGGGCAGCTGTCAGGCTGTGAAGGTGTTGCTGGCTCACTTTGCAAACAGAGAAATCACAGACCACATGGACAGGCTGCCAAGAGACATTGCTCAAGAGCGTATGCATCATGACATTGTACAGCTTCTTGATGAATATAACACGGTGAGGAGCCCCCAGGGCCATGGCGGAGCAGGTCACCACCTCACTGGGGGACACACCTTGTCTCCTCTTATGTGCCCTCCCAGCGCTTTTCTACCTAATCTGAAGAACACCCCACAGGGTAAGAAAAACCGTCGGCCTGGGGCCAAAGGTTCTAGCCTGGGAGGCCAGCATGCCGCTAGCCTGAAGGAGTCAGTGAAGGCCCGCAATAAGAAGCTAACCCTGGACATGCAGAGTGCCTTACTGGAGAGCTCAGTTACTCTGTCCCCAGTTGACTCGCTGGACTCACCTCATGGGGGAGCTAGCAATGCTGGCTACATCACCAACCCCACGTCTCCAGTCGCCATGCAGTCACCAGGGCTTTTCCACCCATCAGTGTCTGTGCCAAACACCCCGATGGTACATGGCAGCATGTTAGAGGGAGGTGGCCCCTTTGCAGTGTCTCTAGCCCAACTCAATGATCTAGGAAGTGGAGGAATGTCCTTGCAGGGACGCGTCTCTATGACGTCAGATATCAACCATGGCTATGTGCTGAATTCAAGCCAGATGGGGCTAAATATGGGCATGGTCAGTCCTGTCAGCGTGCCCTTTGATTGGCACAATCGCATGCCCCCTTCATCCCAATGTGGTCAACAGGTAGTGAATATTGTGCAGAGCAGCCAGGCAGGCATGCACCCCCAGAGTCCAGCCATGCAGCAACAGGGCATGCTGATGCACCAACAGCAGATCTACCGTAATCCCATGCTGCAGCCAACACCTGTTACCTCCACACCCACTATAAGCCCTGTAAAGCTGCCTTTGATTGCTGAGCAACAGCAGCAGCAACAGCAGCAACCACAGCAACAGCTCATGAATCACAACATTACCAACCAGCAAAGCATGGCTTCCGCCCCACCAACACCCCAGACATCACAGGCCCCACCAGCCTTCTTCCAGCAGCAGCAGATGCCTCAGCAGTCCTCCCAGCCACAGCCTCCTGCTCAGGTCCCCCAGGCAGCCACATCAGCAGCTCAGCCAGCTCAGGCTCTCCCCTCCCAGCCTAGTGGTAGCATGGCAGGAAAGGAGGATTATCCTACCCCTCCCTCCCAGCACAGCTATTCATCCACAATGGATGCCACACCCAAGCATTACCCTCATTTGCCCAGTGAGCACCCTTACCTGACACCGTCTCCAGAGTCTCCTGAGCACTGGTCCAGTCCTTCTCCTCACTGCGTCTCCGATTGGTCGGATTCCACACCCAGCCCAGCAGTTGCTGTCCCTGCCCAGACCCAAATTACTCAAATTCCAGAGGCCAATGGCAAGATGCAAGTTTTTGCATGAAGATCATATAGCCTCTGCTTGAAAATGGACCAAGGGTGAAAGAATTTGAGGACTGGCTCTTGGGTCTGTCTGTGTTTTTATGTGTCAGCCTGTTTCCAAGATTTTCATTGGATTTGGATTGACTGCTTATCACGAGGATTGTCTGCTGGTCGATTTTGCAGAGAAAAAAAGTAAAGGGATATGTGTGTTGTCTGAAAAAACAGCAGACAATTTAATGAAGTAATTCTGTCACAGATGGACTTGTTTTTTATTATAAAAAAAAGTATATGAAGAAAACCAAGTCTTTCATTTCAAAGACTTGGGACATTCCTAAAAACTAACAAACATTTAAAAGTAGATAAGAGGAAAAGTGAAATGCTGAAGGGAATTCATTTATTTTTATTTATTGTCTTATCTAAACTACTTTTTAGTTCTTTTTCTCTGTCCTAGCTACTCATATAAAGTGTCACCCCAAGATTAAAAACAGATTGAAATGAAAAACAAAAAACAAAAACATTTCAAGAATTGCCCTGCAATTGTGATATCTTCAGCTGATTTGTGGTTTTCCATATTAGTATTATGAACAAGAATGTAGATAAGTGTCTCTAAAGCACTTCAAACGACCAGCCCAATAGGGCAAGTGTGCGTCCGGTACAAAATTATTAAAATGGATATTTATAATATATGGGTGGCATTTAATCCATGGTAATTTTCTTTATCACCTTTCAAAATGAGGTCAGCAGAGTAAAGTTTTAGTTAATGCTTCCATTTGTAGCTTCTTACTGACACTGAAGTGTATGTACTGCCAACCTTGATAGCTTCAGTTTTAAGGCATGTTTATATTCACTTTAAAAGAAATATGTTTCAAACAGAACTGTTTTGCCTATAAAATCAGCCGCTCACTGCCGTTATGTTTTACTTTGCTTTATATTCTGTATATTTTTTTAAACACCATTTCAGATATGCTAAGCTTTGCTTGTATCAGCTGCTATTTTTTTTAGTCTTCCCTGCAAAACATTCCTCCGTGTTGCTGGTCTTATTGAGTCTGGATTCTGCACCACTCAGTGGGATCCAGTACAGAACAGAACACAGACTAGCAGAATTTGTTAAGCTTGTGATGTCCCTGATCAGACTAAATGGACTATTTGCAGCAGTTAAGATCTCGGTGGCACTCTCACCTTGTCTACGGTGACGTAGTGGTCAGCATGAAGGCGTGGCTACTGGGTTGTAACTGCTTATGCCCTGTCACTCCTCAGGGAGGTGTTTTATGGCATGCAGTGGGATAGTGCCCCTGCATCTACAGTAGTATCAGTCCAGGGGCTATGTGGTTGCATCTTAAGATGAATGTTAAAATAGACCCAAGGAAAAAAACACTACCATGTAGTGTTGTTCCCTATAACTTTTTTGCTAAATTCTGAGATGACACTGTCATTTAGCTAACCGAGAGTTGACCAAGTCTTTTATTTCATTGTGACATCCTTAACATTTTGTGGGCATTTCAACATAAAGTCAGATAATAATAGTAGAATTTTACAAAAGTAAGTTTCGCATGTTTATTTTGTGACAACATGAACAGAAATAAGTTGGCCACCACTTTAGTGTGTCATAGACTTATTATATCTTTCATTTATTGTTTATTCTGTTCATTATAGAATCAGCTACTGTTCTGCCAGACCTGAGACACATGTTCACAGTCCAGTTCACATCTTACTTACAATGAAAACAGTTTTTTGGCTGTTTATTTGTTTATTTTTATATATAACTTGTTTTACAATTTCTCTACCAGGCCGCACTAAGTGTTTTGTACATTTCAATCTCTCAAGTTCTGTTTGTAAATATGTTTGTTCTGGGTAGATCATTGCTTGAGAAATATTGTTTCTAAAATGATTGTTGTGTACTAAAAGGACAAAAATAAAATGTACTTCATTTAGCATTATTTCAAGCTGAGGCTGTGACTGATTTTTTTTTACACGTTAGTTAATAGTTAACATAAATTTAATGTTAATGTACAAATGTCCACTCTTTTTACATTAAAGTTTTAGATACCTCCTGTTCGAGTTGCTATGCTAGACAAACTATGTGATGGCACTGTTACTCAATTATCCCAAACATATTTTCCACATTATGTTCTTTTAAAAAGAAAAAAATTCTGGTTGATGCCTATCAAATAACATATATATGAAAATACTGTTATACAGTGTATGTAAGTGGCCAGCTGATAATGTCTATCAGTTGTCTAACTTTACCTCTAGGATTGCTCAAAATACAATTAGGACTATTCTCAGGAACTTATCGCAGTGGAGGTGAGACCCAAACATTAATTTCAAATGTTAAATCATTGCTCTTTTATTATTTGCATTCACAACATTTATTTTGAGATCCACTCAACTCTTGTATTCTATCTGCAAAAAGGTTCAATCAAAGGCATGTAATTTATATAATCAAGTACATCGTTTTAATAGTTTTGCCTTTAGATTTTGTTAGCATCATTACAGTGAAGTAGTTCTTGTTTTATCTAAAATTAAGAGTATGACAGAAATCTTAGTAGACAGTTAAGTACATAAATATTACACAAATTAGTAATAAACACAACTTTTTCAGTTACTACTGTACTGATAAAATGATAAACACCTTTGCTCAGAAAGAAACTATATATCACCTTACAGTTGGGTGTTTTAAATAAAATAATATAGTATAATATAATAAAATATAATATAATAAAGTCATAGCTATCGCTCTCGAGAATTATCTTCACGTGAATAATACTTCTAAACTGTGCAACAATAGAATCCTCATATTCACAGAATCATTTCTTTCCTGCCCTCCTCTGCAGAAGGCGCAGAAGCCCCAGCGTAGCGCTAAACACGCGGTCATGTTTAAAGATCATCTTGTAGAATGTGTGCAGAGGCAGTCGGCCAGTTGGATCTGCATGCTTCAGGGCAGTCATGGGCATGTACACTTTGTTGGTCTGGTGACGCAGAGGAGGGTCCTTGGCCGTGATCACGTTAACTGTTTGCTGAAAAATAAAAGCAAAAAAATTAAAACATTCATAAGTTTTCACTAAAAAACACGTTATTTTACCGTACCTTTAAAAACACAATTTTAACCACTTGCCTCGGCCACTTCCTCTGGTGTCTGACTTAAAGAAGTAAAGATTTCTTTAGAGTATGGGAGGTAAAGTTCCCTGAATATCCTGGCAGTCTCTTCATCCGTCCCTGATAGATCCATCTTCTCAGCACTTTCGTACATTTTCCTTTCAAACTCCGTCACCACAGGGCCAGGTTCTACTAGAGTTGTCCTTCGAACAAGGATATAAAAAAAAAAATAACATTAAGACCACTGTCCCTTTACACTCATTAAGTTTTTAATATTTTGCCAATGTGGGCTTACTGATAACTCAAGTTTTAGTTGTGGGCTGGCTGCATTTTTTAATGCTGTAGTATGTTTCAGGACATGTAATCACTTGATGTTAAACTTCATTGCTTGCACTGCCAGACTTTCACAAAATCCTTCCACAGCAAATTTGGATGCAGAGTAGACATCGTTGAACAGAAGTCCTGGTTGGAAATATTATGAAAGATGTTAGCTTTTAGTTTTTTCTACATTGTATGCATGTTCTGAAGTTTTTTATCAGCACAAACAAACACACCCTGTAGTCCCATGACACTGCTCATCACCACAATGTGGCCACTCTGTCGCTGCTTCATGTCAGGCAACACCTCTTTCACCAGACGCACCAGGCCAAAGAAATTTGTGTCAAACAGCTCCTTCATTGCATCGATACTCTGGCACTCCAGCGGCCCAATCATGCCAACACCAGCATTGTTTACTGTAACAACAGAATACACTATGCTTTCAAACTGTATACTTGTAAAAAGAAATGTTGAATTCAATTAAAGCTTATCTACAAGATGGAGGAAAAACAGACCAAGAACATCCACCCGTCTGTTCGGCAGGCTGTTAATACATTCTTTGATGGAAGTTTCACAGCAGGCATCCAACTCTTTGATTTCGAGGGTTTTGTTTAAGGAATCGCCTGCTGCTTTCTCCAAGGGTCCCCGTTTCCCAAGATCTCTCATGGTGGCAACCACTGCCTCAGATAGAGAGGGAACACACTGACTGTCAGCAATGATGGTTACTTCTACCACCTACCTGTACTATAAGCAAAGACTGATCAGCTGACCTTTAAACCGCCTCAGTTCATCTTTGGCCAGCCGTGCAGCCACAGCCAAGCCAATGCCAGAAGAACACCCAGTCACCAGCACCCTCCGGGTCGCCATGCTCGTTGATCTTTGACCTAAAGGTTCAGGTGGTCTTGACTGGTCAGTCAAGCAATGTTGAGAAAAGAGAAATATTATTAAAGGAATATTCTTCAGCCAATGTAAAGTCTTTGTAGTAATTACTCTATTGGCATATACATCTAGCTCAGTTGGAGATATTTTTTTTTACCATGAATCGGATAAAAAGAAGAAATGTTACTGTTAAATACTTCTTTTTAATATGCATATATATATATATATATATATATATATATATATAAAACAGCAAAAACTGATCACACACATCATGCACTGGTTGGCAATTTACTGATTAACTTAAAAAATATTTAACAATAGGTCACTTCTTGTGAGAGGCTATCTGTGTCCATGTGAAGTGATATTAAGACTAGAGTGCCTTTGTTATTTGTTAAAAGATTGCATTGGCCCTAATCTGCTTAATGTGTGCTGGAATGTTTGGCTGCCTTACCAAAGCCCAACACCTTTTTATTCAGAATGTAACCAACAGATATTCACATAAGGACATATTATAAAGAGTTATTTTAAAGAAGCGGTTTTAGGGGGGTTTTTTTTGTTAAAGATAGTATTGCTTTGTGGTTATATATTAAGTCTCACGGCATCCCAAGACAAATTTATTGAAATAAAAAAACAATATTTTTTCCGTAACACAGTTAAGTATAATTAGACTATAACATTTCAATGTTAATTAATAAAGTAAACTGTGGTAAAGCAAAGTACTTGGTATACAATTTGTAGTGAGTCAACATAAACTATCACTGCAGAATGAATAGCCTGCAGCAGACACTGTAAATCCCTACAGGACGAGTTAACCACATTCAAGTCGAACCCTAGAGGCATGTAGTTTTGTTTGTAGTTGATATTGTAATATACCAACCTGTGGAGCGAACCGCGCTTTCTTCACAACAGTGGATATGGGAAATAAAGAGACAGTAATAAACTAGTAGCTCGCTCAACTTCGTAGCGCAGCATTCGGAGAGCAGAGACAAGACTGAGACACGGCTACATAAGCCCAGTGATTATCTAAGGTCAGTCAGGCCGACGCAGTACATGGGTGTTGTAGTTTTTTAGCCAACAACAGCTCCGTTGAAAACAGCAGCCACGCCGTGGTTGTTGCTGCTCCTGTAGCAGCCTTATGCCCTTAAAATGTTAATAATTATATAAATGTAAAACGAAATGTTCTAAAAAAACAAAAAAAACAATGGTTAACAAAGTTTACTGTAAAACGAGATCTAGGTCTCCTGTTGTAGTCCATGGAAAATACCACATTCATACCCTTATTCAAAATGCTGTTGCAGTTCGTCATTGTAACCACTATAGGTCACACTTGTTTTCCTGAAGTCAGGGCTGGAGGTTACATCAACAGGCTTCAGAGGTTACCACTATAATGAAATGGTTACAGTGCGCATTACTGAAAATAGTTCAGCAACTAACTCAAAAAGGTGAAGTAATAATGTGTTAGTGTTACAGGATCTATGAAGTTGCATACTTGGTGTTTTTTCCTTAGTTTCAAATCACTCTTTTCAATGAAGCAGTTTTTCTGAATCTCGTCTAATGTCTGTTTACTGTATATTTGAGGTGCAAATGCTGAGAATATCCAATGTACGGATATGAGTATTTGCGTAGAAGGGCTGTGTTTAAAAAAGTTTTCACCCACAGACAAAAACACAGTGTCATGGCAAAGAGAAAATTGTATATCTTTCTGAGTATATACATATATACATACCGTCACGTGAAGTAATGTCGCTGTAAGGTTAATCATTTGTGTTATATTCTGATATTCTGCCCTGGCAGGGGAAACATACCGTTCAGCTGTTGCATAACAATAGAAAATGTGCTCTTAATAAGTGTTTAAAGGGACAGTTTTACAAAGAGAAGTTTTTGGTTTATTTTTTGGTTTGTTTCTTCATTTGTTTGTTTGGGTGGGTGTCTCTCTGTGTGTGTGTGTGTTGGGGGTGGGACATGTTAGAGTAGTTTACTGCTCTCTGTTGCACATTCTACAACATTTTGAACATCTGCCAGCAAACACTGTTTGTCATCTTATAGTTATATCACAAAATTGATGTTTATAAGGCAATGTTCCATTTCCGAAGCTGAGAAGTTTTAAACTGTTATGATGTGTCAGGGTGCAACTGCATAATTTTTCATTGAATGTGCCTATTTCAAACATTCCTGTCAGTTTAGCATACGTTTATAAGACATTATGTCTATAAATTATAAACTTTGTTATAACTTGTCATGAATGACAAACAAGAAAACCATACATAAGGATTCCTAGAGTTTAGTTTAGTGACTGTTTGTATCTTTCTGTGAAAAGAAAAGGTTATTTGGGGCGAGGTTCACCCTAAAGTTTACATTCACATTTATAAGAGGCAACTATGACAGACAATAACGTGGAAGTGCATGTTTAGAAGTGGAGTCATTTGTTTCAAGTTACATGAATTGGTCGTGAAAAGAATAAAATCATATTCTTTTTTTATAATATTTATAGGGTTCACACTGCTTTGAATGATAGCAATGACTATTTCCTCTTGGGCAAACCAGTCAGCTTGCATGCACATGTAAAAAAAAAAAAAAAACCAAAAAAACCTTCATGCTCAAATGCTTTAAATATACTCTACACATCTGCAGAACCAGATGGGTCCTTTCAGACTAGAAAAAGGAAGGAAATACCACACTGTGCACTGTGGGCTCACGGCACTATTAAGATGAAAAAGGGTTCAGTTTAGGATTACTACTTCTTGCATGACAGATGTTTATTTGCTTTACAGTTAGAAAGAACAAGGGTTGGATTAAGTATCCCAGTATCTACATAACAGTCAACCAGCAAGAACTGCAGACTTACAACAACACGACCAACAACTAACTCAATACTCAAGTTTAAGGATTTTCTCTTTTTTTGTATTCTTTTTCTTAACAACAAAAGGACAAACATTTAAATCCAAGTTTCTGTTGTATTCAGGTTGCATGACACCGAATGGGGTTGTCCCCATTTGGTGTCATGCAACCTGAATAGAAAGAAAGAAGAATTTGGTGTTCTGAGGGTGCAAAACACATATCACGCGATCTGTACCAACATAAGGTACAATGTGAATTCTCTTGAGACATGAACACTAATATTGTTCATCATTATGTCTCAGGTACTTCCTTGTCTCTGTTTAAATGTGTATACCAGTGCCAGGGGGTAACCTAAGACATTTTTTCACAATTTGAAAGAAAATAATACTGCATGAGAACTATTCATTTTGAATATTTGAGCTAATGCTTCACATAATGTTCGGTCACAATTTGTACCAACTATTGTGGCACTCTTGGGATCCGATTTGTTCAAGTTTGAACCTAATATTAATTCCACTTAATACTAATCATTATTGCAAAGGTAATTTTACTTATATCAAAGTTTAGCCACTGGATCTGAAACTTATTTAATTATCCTTATTTTGTTATATTTTATGTTCCTGATGTTCTGTGTTACAAAACTGTTAACACTAGTTTAATTTACCCTCACCTGATGTTGCATAAAGTTAGTGAAAAATATTAGCTCCACTCTGAGGGCTTATGTTAAATGCTGTACTGTGTTGACTCGCTGGTACAGAATAGTAGAGATAATATTTCATCTCCTAATCATCTGAATTTGATAGATGTTATTGGATGTTATGAAAGAGGTTTCATAACAGCTAAGCAACACATAATTCCTGCCAGATTCTCTTGTTACTGTTTTGTATTCCCTCTGTTACTCCTTTGGGTGTTTTGTGTTCTAGCTTTAGGGAGTGGTCAGTTTTCATAACCAGCTCTTTATAACCAGAGCACTGGACAAGACTGCAGACATTCCATTTTTGAAAGCAGACAACAGTCAGCCACAATGTAAGTACAATTTTAATTTCCAGAAGGTCTTTAAAGCAAATAACCCTATATATTGTAAGAAGTAAATCAAATAGACAAGCAAAGTAACTTTAAATGTGCCTTTCAGGATTTTTGTTTCAGGACTTGTTTGTTTTCTTCTGGTTCTAACAGCTGAAGCCAGAGTTGGGTAAGAGACCTGAATTTGAACTAAAGATAGTGAGCACAGGTTTAGTCAATACCTATCACAGGTAGTTGTTGCTATGGACTTGTAAAACTGCTTTAAAAAGCATTTTCCTCTGTAACTTCACAGCAACTCCTCTGAGTTAAGCTTCTGCACTGAGACACCAGAGTGCCTGCTGTTCGATTTGATTTGTAAGACCAAGGATTATGAGGTAAAATATTTTTTTCATATTTTAGGTGTAGCAAAGTTATAAAAACACCAGTTAAAATATGTTTGTTCATGTATTTCAGGTGCGTCACTATGACTCTGTGAAATGGGTCTCAACTAATGAGAAATCCTTCTTCCTGGAAATGGCATTACCAGTAGCATTTAATCGACTGTTCAAATACATCAGTGGTGAGAACCAGATGGGTGCGTATGTGTTTATCTAATTGTGTTTCAATACTCTATTAACCCCGTGTATAAGAACACAGCTAACAGCTATTTGTAAATGGGGTTTCTTTTCATAAAATACAATATATATATATGGGGAGTTTAAGCCAGTTTTGAACACGTGACACGTCTAAATTTAAAATGGCCTTTGACCAAACATAATTACTGTATTTGGTTATATTCAGGGAGCAGTGGTAGTCTCGTGGTTTTATTGGATATTTTAGTAAAAAAAAAAAAAATTCTGTTTGCATCCAGGAAAGAAAATTCAAATGACCAGTCCCGTTGTTGTGAAAATACCAAACAAGAGATTTTGGCAAATGGGCATCTACACAATGAGTTTCCTGCTGCCGTCGGAACATCAGGAAAATCCTCCCAAACCTACTAATTCAGACGTATGTTTTTTAAACTAAAAAAAATTAGTGGCAAATATTTAATAGGAAATTATTTGATGACAGATAGTTTCATCATGTTTTGCAGGTGTACATCGCTGACACTCCAGATATGAAAGTGTATGCATCTAGCTACGGAGGATGGATGACGACCTTTTCTGACAGCAGTAATGCTAACGACCTGAGTAAAACTCTTGATTCAGTTAAAGCAAAATACAAAAAAGAACCCCACTGTGCTGTTGGGTACAACAGGTAAAGTAATCGCCATCATTAGAAGAAAAACATGTGAAAGAAAGCATCAAAAACAGCTTCAGTTTAAACTATTTTCTTGATTATTCTAATGTGAATCTGTGTCTGTGTGCGTCCCTGTGTTCCGTGTTTCTCTGTGGTCTGTCATGTTTCTTGCAGTCCAATGAGGATGTTTAACCGCCACAACGAGGTCTGGTTTGCTGTTGAGGACGAGCCGGTGTGTGAAGAAAAAAGCAGTGAGGAAACTGATTAATTGACTCATTGTGAATTGTAAGACCCATGCAAAAATATAAGTTGAATGCACCGTATTCCTGTGGATTAACAGCAGCTTGTCTGTGATTTCCTTCTTTTAATAAAACTTTTAGCATTGACTCTTGATTCTTTCTAATCAATCCACCTCTGTTGATCTTACAACAGCTGCAGTGACAATACTGAATGAAAAAAATAACCCACAAGTATCCAATCCCAGTCGTGTTTAGCAGTACTACTCAATGCCACTAGATGACACTATTAGGCTGCACAACTGCATCCAGAATTCCAAACGCTTCCCAGGGCTTCGGTCTTTGCATATTTTAGCTACTTTTGCAGTACTTTGCATTTAAATGAAGGAAGGAGGACACTGAACAAAGGCTGTGAGCTTAACATGCCACTTAGAAAAGTAAAGAGACCCCTTTTTTCTTTGGAATGTCATAATTTGTTTACTAGTTAATGGGTGCCATGACCACCTGCCCTTGGCTTTGGAATAAAGGTCACGAAAACATTCTAATGCGTTTTACTGCTTTGTAGCCTCTTATCACCTGTAGCATAGTTTAAAATTTTGGATATTACAATTGCCGTCTGTAGTTTCTCCTTCTCTGAAAGGATTTTTTCATGTTATACTAAGAATATATAATGTTGCTGTTGTTGGAGATACATTGTTTGCTACTTAATGATCCACTGATGCATACTTTAAAGGAAACACTACTTTATACAAATACAAATACCCCACTACATTCCTGGGATGTCATTCCAGATGTCTGTCAGCTAATTACTTTGACATTACACACTGATTAAATGAAACAACTCTGAGATGGGTTTTAAATAAATAACACTACATAAAGAGGTTAAATGGACCAATAATTACATTTTAAAAGAATACAAAGAAATCCTACTATACTAAATTTCTCATTTTCCACACTATGACTCTTTGAAAGAGATTGATCATTAGGTTGGTAACCAATTCATCAAACTATCCAAAAGTTAAATAATTCTGTTGATACTCTTTTAAATAAAATATTGCTCATAAAGGCAATAAAGGCATAAATTCCTCCTTATTCTTTAAATTTAGAATACATCTTTGCATAGAATTATCAGTGCATTCTGCTGGTAAAACCTGTGTAATTATATTTCCATGTCACTGCAAATTCATTTTGAGTCTTTTCTATAACACTGACCCTAGCATCAGATCTTCATTCACCCAAACCCTACATTATCAGCTCAGAATTACAAGTATAATGGAGGGAATGACAAATAAAATCAGAATGTCTGTAGTTTGAATAAAGTGATTATGTGTACTAAATGATTCTTATCAGGTGAGCTCAGAGTACCTTAATGATACTGGCGTGATTTCACTACAGGAAGATTCCAGCAGGTGGCTATTTGACTTATCAACCTATGTGTGGTTGGTTGGCTTGCTTGCTGACAGACTAGCTGGTAGGAGTGCCAATCAGGAGAGGTTTTATGACACTCACTATAGATCGAAGTCCACATGTAGGCCTTAAACAAGATCAGTCCACAGCCGCTGGTTGGGCCTGCTCACCTGCCACCTGCAGTGTCTGCGGTCTCCTGATCTCTGCTACAATGAAGTTCAACCTGGGCTGAGTCCATGTCCCACTTATCAAAATGGATCTACCAGGTTATCACCTACAGCAGCACCAGCCTCTTGTTCACCACCCTGGTAACTATCCAGAGGATTTGATCGATTTGGAGGGATCATCAACATGTGAGTACTAGATGAAAGTGGCTATGGGTCAATAGTGAACTGGCATGTAGGTGTCAATAAATATATTTTAAAAATGTTTTGTGAAACTACCTGTGTTAAAAAGGTTCATACTTTGAAAGTTGAAGCAGGTTTTAACATTGTCTGTAAATGTATATTATGAAAAACAGTAGTCACTTTCATTTGAAAAAACACATTTAGAGTAACAAAACAAACAAAAAGGTTTTAAAGTGGTTCCCAGAAGATTCCCTTCTGTGATAGAGGAGATAGAGAGAATAGTTCTGGATATTATGTAAGGGTCATATCTGTGATCATAGTCAAGCAAATCAAGCCCAGTGATAAGGTACTGTCTACAGCAAAGCGATGGTCCTGCCCACTGTTCTTTCAGCAGCTGGGCAATAAACCCTGTTAGATGACACTTTTACACTTCAGCAGCACAGCATTCTAGTCTCTTTAGCCACTCGGGATTTACAAAATTCTAACTCATGTCTGATTGCTAATTATCCTCCTGTTTTAGATGACTTGAAATATTATACTTGGCATGGCACACATGTTTCCTTGCAACCTTACCAACATTACAAATTTCCAACATATTATATACATCAAATATTTGATATGAAAAGTGTATTCAGTTTAAGCAGTAGCTTTGCATATCATTGAAACAAAACATTGTTTAAAGAAGAAGAAGAAGAAGAAGAACACCCTCAAAGGGTGAAGTTTGTGTCATATTGTAAATCTTGTCATTAAATATTACTGGTCCTCAGCTCAGGAGCAAAAGCCAGAGGCAGAGAGTAGACTGGACTCAGAGGACAGCTGTCCTGTCTGTGGAGACAAAGTGTCAGGATACCACTATGGACTTCTTACCTGTGAGAGCTGCAAGGTAAAAGATAAGGTTTGGGCCGTGCAAAATGTGCATTCTTTTATGCCACCAAAAGTCATCTTAGCTTTGTTAACTGCAAAACCAAAGTGACTTATGAGTCCGCAATAAATAACACATTAATGGTTTTGCAGTAAACACCAGATAGCTATAATCGGGTACTACAGATATATTAAGAGATACATATGTCCCATAGTTCTACGACAATAATGATGCACATGTAGATATCTATGGTTTTGTGGTGTGCATAAAGGTTCCCTCTCTCTCTTTCTTTGCAGGGCTTCTTTAAACGTTCAGTGCAAAACAACAAACATTACACTTGTGCAGAGCAACAGAGGTGCCCCATGAACCTTTCTCAGAGAAAACGTTGCCCATTCTGCCGCTTCCAGAAGTGTTTAGCTGTGGGTATGAAGAAAGAAGGTACACCACATTGCCACCACTTCATTCACAGCTAATTTATAGACCATTCAGTTGCAACAGGCTTTCTCTTTCACTGATACGCAAGGGTTTTTTTTGCCTCCCTTGAGACTTATCTAAGAACTCATAAAGCAGTGCTGACCCAGATTGTAAATGATGTAAATGATTGCAAACTCTAAATGGAGTGAGATTGTAATTTTTTTAAGATGATCTTTTACTTATTTTTGTTTATAATTAAATATTTGTTTGATGTTCTCTCATCAGCGGTCAGAGCAGATCGTATGAGAGGAGGCAGGAACAAATTTGGGCCCCTCTACCGCCGGGACAGACAAATGAAACAGCAAAAGGTGTATCACCAGTCAAACACTGATCCCTACAGGATTAAGGTAGAAACTGGACAAATACATGGTCCCCACGCTCTAAATGACCTCCAGGTGGTAACCAGCTGCGTCAGTCATCCATTAACTTCTGAAGCTGTTAATCAACCCCACATGTATACTTCTTGCATGGGGCAGTCAAGTGAACCCATGTCTCTGGACTGCACTGTGAACACTCCTCCATCCCTGCCTTACCCTGGACTGTACCACTGCACTTTCCCTGGACACCCTGAGGAGAAGCTGGAAGTGCCTTTTGGCTACAGCCCAGTTCCTGTAAACTATACAGTGCATTCCACCCCAAACAGCTCATTCACACCGAGAAGTACACTAGAATCATCACCCTGTTCAACAAAAAGCTTAACCACTCCTGTATCCCAGGCTCCCACTCAAACACCAACCAGCCCTCTATCATCAGCGCTTACACCTAACTTCTTAAGCCAACTGTTGGAAGGGGAACAGGATGAGAGCCAGCTGAATGCCAAAGTTCTGGCCAGTCTTCAGAGAGAACAGGCCAACCGAGGCAAGCACGACCGTCTGAATACATTCAGCATTATGTGCAAAATGGCTGACCAGACTCTGTTTTGCCTAGTGGAGTGGGCCAGAAACAGTTCCCTCTTTAAGGAGCTGATGGTGAGGAACCATTAACTCATTGGATACACATGAAATTAATAACACTTTTCTAGCGATACAATGATTAATTAGCTGTTAGAGTAGATCTATCCCATTTGTTCCTTAACATGCATGCATCCTTAATGGAGGCCATCCAGTATAATCTTTGCAATTACACGCAAAATCTTTCCAATAGGTGGAAGACCAAATGGTGCTGTTGCAGAGCTGTTGGAGTGAGCTGCTGGTACTAGATCACTTATGTAGACAAGTGACATATGGCAAAGAAGGCTGCATATATCTGGTCACAGGACAACAGGTTTCTACTTTAAAATGCTGCATTCTTACGTTTAGAAATGTTTCAAAGAAATGAAAGTAATAATGAGCACATTCTTTGTCTTATTCTGATGCAGATTGAGGTGTCAACCATCATTTCCCAGGCAGGAGTGACACTGAGTAGCCTGGTATCAAGGACCCAGGACCTAGTATCCAAACTTAAGGCACTCCACTTGGACAGACATGAGTTTGTCTGTCTCAAATACCTGGTGCTATTTAACCCCGGTGAGCAATTTTTCTCGAAGACACATATCCAATGTAGCTTTTGTTCAACGTTAATTATGTTTGTGTTGTGTGGGGTTTTTTTCTGCTCTAGATGTGAAGTCAGTGCATAACCGCAGGCAGGTAGAGCAAACTCAAGAGCGAGTCAACAGGGCGCTGATGGAGTACACTCAGCGAAATCATCCAGGACATTGTGATAAGTTTGGCCAGTTGCTTCTTCGGCTGCCTGAAGTTCGCAGCATCAGCTTGCAAATTGAGGACTATTTGTACCAGCGCCATCTTCAAGGAGATTTGCCCTGTAACTCTCTACTTACAGAGATGCTGCACACCAAGCACAGCTGAGAAGATGATATCACTTGTGGTACCAGAGTGGCCACAGTATGCTGCTGTAAAGTTGGTACGTTCTTTTCTGCCTTCTACATCCACCTTTCCACTACTTGTTATGATTGTTCAAAGTAAGGGAAAAGCTATCTATCACAGATCATCAGTGCAAAGAAGTATTTGCGTACCCATGCAATGCTTTGGCCAAGTCTACTGCCTGCAGTGTTACCACAGCCAAATTGCTCATCAGTTTCTTTAACAGTATTCTTGAGAAATGTGAGAACCAAGCACTAACGTGTTGCTTTTAGTAATCAGGAAGAGCTTAACTGTCTAAAGAGGAAAGAAAAATGCATCAATAAAGTTTTCCATTTTTACAGAAGTCTTGATGTGTACTTAAGAGGAAAATTATGACATAGAACCTTCACAGACATGATATATTGGTGTTATTTTCTCACTCTTACGCAAGGAAACCTCTTTCCAGCTGATTTTACCTTTAACAAATTTTTCAATTATTACTGCTCCAAGTACTACAATAAAACCAAATGAATGTGGGAAAGAAACATGAAGATGAAAAACAAGATGTAGATGATTTAAAATGGATTTTATTCATCTGGTTAAGTTGCCAAAGAAGTCAGTTAAGTCAGTTTATGAAATGAACATTTATAGTGTGCTGGCACAGATCCAAAAACAAGGGAAAGAAAACCAATGTTATGACAACTTCTATGAAATGACTACATGACTTATAACCTAAACCAAAAAAAAAAAAGAAAGAAAAACTAGAGGAAAAAAAAGGATAACCTGAAACTAAACATCAAATGCACCGTCTAAATTAAAGCAAATAAATACACTTCTCAATGATAAGGGGATTTCTAGGGGTGAAATTGCACTGAATCAAGAAAAAAAAAAGGCTGTTAACTACCACATACTAGTTTTAACAAACACATAAATACAAAAGTCCACCAATTCCATTTGCACTACTCCTCACACACAAATGTATCATTTATTTCCTAATCACTGTTTAACATTATTTTATATCTGTAATGGAATCTCATTCAAAAACACATTTCTTGCAGGCAGTGGTTTGAAAAAAAAAAAAAGAGAGAGAGAGACAGCTGAACCGCAATAGCTGTTGACGGGACAGCTAAAAAAAGATAGAGGGCTAATTCGCCACAGGTTTTTGTAGTGATATTGACCTCATAACAAGCAATTCCAAGGTCTTAGAAGTGTGGACATAAGCAAAAAAAGAAAAAAGCAGTTCGGCATTTTACATTCCTCCAGTTGCACATGGAGTCTCTAGAGACTGTGGGGTAGATGAGGGCTGTTACAGTCCGGAATGATCCTTCATCAAGAAAACCTACTGTTCATATGCCAAGACACATAAACAGGGAAATAAAATAATAGGAAACAGACTCATAGTGACCTAAAGGATTTATTAATCCCAAGACAAACTGTTTCAAATTCTATTCATTCTCATTCACTCATTCGCAACTCAAACATACATCTCACTTATACTTTGCAGCAGGCTAGCTTATTCATAGCTTACAAAGGTCAACTTTTTACAAATCATTGTCAAAAAAAAATTAAATTAATTAGCATTCAGTATATATTAAATTATCATTGATTATCATTCTCACAAAGAGCTGTATCCAAGATAAACATGATAAAGCCCTCCTTCATGTTTCCAGGTTTATTTTTCAAGATAAGCTCAGATAACATTTCAATTCATCACGTGTTGAAAATGAAAAAAGCGAGCTACTAGGGAAAAAGTCACATGAATTTCATTTTTCTTTTAGTTCTCAAAGAGTGAATAATTTTGTCCAGCAAAAACATGGCAAATGGTATAAAAAAAAACATCCAGATGTCTACAGCTGAGAGATTGAATGGAGTTCACAAACTATGTGGCACAAGCATTTCCTAGGTCTGGAAGTCCACTGACAATGACAGCAGTCACTACCAGTGCAGAAGGACCATTCACTATAATAGATTCAAACAGTGAAAACACCCCTGAATGGAATGAATGGTTAGTGTGTGCCCTACATTCATTGGGAGCAGTGTTATCTGCTATTAATTTTCAGCTGAAGTCTCCAATCAAAACTGAGACCTTAGACTTGTTTCAGCAGAGTGGAAAGAGTGAGCCCTAGAAGTAGAAAAGGCAAATGCAAGCAGAACTGAGATGGGTGGGAACTACTCGTGCCCTAAGTACTGTTTTGCAGGCAAAGGCAGTGTGGTTGTCCTCTCTTTTTCTTACCTTAGAGTCGCAAAAATGACTCAGGCATGGCAGGGTAAGGCAAGGCATGAGGAAGGAAGGGGGGGAAAGTTGTTATCCTGAATCAGTTGCATTATTTTACAATCTAGGTAGACCAGATAAAGCCAGAGATAAACTATTCTAAGCACATTGGCTGAGTGAGTAGGTGCTTGGCCCATTCTTTTAGCATGTAGTGTTGACTGGATTATTCTTAGGCTCCACGTGGATAGCTGTCCAAAGTCAGTCAATCTGTTTTCTGTTATTCTAACTGAATAACAATCTCAACTGCCACACTGGCCAAAATCAAGGGAAATGAAAAGTCAAGTTGGGAATGGATTCCCTGAAAAGCACCTCTACATTTATTGGATAAGTCTTTATTTGGGAGTGCCAAACTTTTTGGGAGTTCCTGGGCGCTTTTGCCAAAAATGGCCGGGGATGGTGAAAGCGTCAACACTCATGGACATGGTTTTGGACGGGATGACGGTGAACTGCTTGCGGTCTGAGCTGTACTTGTAAATGGACTCAACCATATCAAGTGTGATGACTCGCGGGCCAATGCCAGTTAGCCGTGCCATCTCATCGGTTTCAGGGTTCATGGTATAAACCGCTCTGAATTGGCAGCTGGAATCTCTGAAGAGGATAAGAAAGTGATTGGCTGTGCTTTTCTCCATTTCCTGAAAAGAGAGATATAGAGAAAAGAATAAGTATATGGACCTAATCAACTTGGGGAGGACATTAGGTTTGATGCATGCAGGTTGTGTGATGATAATACCAACTTATTTTTACATGCTACATCCTCCTTAGGGCATTCATAACAACAGCTGGTAGTCATATTACACAAAGGTTTTGCCGCCACAACTTTACTTGCCACCTCAAACATATTGTTTTGCATATTTTACCTCCATCTTCAATTTGTTTTGTCTTTTCACAAAATGATCTGTGCATCACTGTATGTTGAATTGTTGACAAATAGGTCATGGCAGCAGTCACATTGTGAGATGGTCATTTTAAATTTCTGATACTATCAGAATTTTTCCCAGACAGCCTTTTGGTTGGAAGTCTATTACAACAGCCATCTTTTAACATATGTCTGTGAAGGTTCTCAGTCATCCAGGTCATCGTAGTCAAAGGAGCTTGTAAAGAGAGTGTGTTGTACTTCAGACCCAGCAACACACTCAGACAAAAACTGGTTCACCCGAAAGACAAAATTCCAAAACACAGACTTAACAACGTGGTGTATGCTGTACAGTGCAGCGAGGATTGTCCAGACCTCTACATTGGAGAGACCAAACAGCCACTTCACAAGCGCATGGCACAACATAGAAGAGCCACCTCCACAGGACAAGACTCAGCAGTCCATCTGCATCTTAAGGACAAAGGTCACTCTTTCGAGGATGCCAATGTTCACATTTTGGACAGAGAGGACAGATGGTTTGAAAGAGGAGTGAAAGAAGTCATCTATGTCCAATGTGAGCGACCATTTTTGAACAGAGGCGGTGGTTTACGACACCAACTGTCTGCCATCTATAATCCAGTTTTGAGTTCCCTCCCCAGACGCCTTAACACCCACTCACATCCTGGGCCATCTGACCTCAGGAAATCACATGATAGGGTGGGGCCAGGTTTCACAATGAGCTCACCTGAAACCCTGGCTGATTGTGACCCACACCCGTTTCACACCTCGGCCCAGGTGATTAGAGAATCATCAGGAGGTCCTTTTGTCCCTCTTTGGGGGGGGATACCCCCACTGGGTTTAAATCTGGGACTCTCTGCCATTTGACCTTAGAACTGAAGAAGCTTCTCGGATGAGAGGTGAAACATCTTCAAGCAACTTAAAGAAATCCAGACGCTTCTCTTTACAAGCTCCTCTGATCTTTTAACATAGTATCACCATTTGGAAGCCACAAGTTAAGAAATCACTATAGTTCTTTCATGTTGAGCAGCTTTTGTCTGGGACAACCCAAACGCAAAAATGTATAAACCTGGCTTTAAGTGCGTTACATAACCTAGTTAGGGTGTAGCTTTTTGTTGGACTCTGACACGGCGGGATGGTTTACCTCTACAATCTTGTTTTTCTGTGGTTCATTGACCTTCCCAGCCAGGCAGCAACGAGTGATAGCATTATGGATGATGAATTTGTTGGACTTAAAGCTAGGCTCCTTGTACAGCTTTGGTCCTGCAAAACACAACATTTCCAAATGCTATAAAGCAAACAAAACAATGCTTGCAGCATTCATTTTTACAATTTTTTGTGTGGAAATTATGACTGACCTGTATATTCTGGGATAGAAGCGGGGGAGGAAATAGCAGAGCCAGTCTCCCAGTCCTTCTCTCCATTCTGAACACCAATTCGTCCTGGGGACCTTCCCCGTGATCGGGCAGGAGAGTGTGAACGACTAGAGAGATAACAGAGGAAGCCTTTTTTTTACATTTTGAGGCTTTATTTTTCATTTGCACCTGATAACACAGACTACACTGCATCTATAGTTGGTGTCAATGATACAAGAACACCCACTTATTAAATATTTCAAACTTTAACCCTCTGGGGTCCAAGGTTAAATTGGCTGTTTTTCAGTACTTTTGATTTTACCTTAATATTTCAACTTTAAAAACTATTGACCTTGCCTTATTTGATATCATTCTTTTCAGCACAACCTCACATGTCTAAATCTACAGTCATTTTTTTCATTTTGACTTACTGTATTAACTGATTTAAAAATCACAGAAAAATAATAAAATCAGAGTAGGTAAATTTTTTACTGTAACAGCAAAAAACATGTTTAGCAAATCATTTTCATAAGTTGAAATGCAAACAGAAATTGTACATTTAAAAAAAATGTACAAATTTTGCAAACAGCAAAGCTATATGCAACTATTTACCTAAAAATGCATGCAATACCTCAGGTGTTTTTTGTACAACCATTTAAAACTATTTCTAAAAATAAAATTACAGAACAATAAGGTGCCACACAAATTATTTGTGAAATTAAAAAAATAAATAAATTATATCCACTACAAAAGAGAGGTGCATATCACAGGGATAATACCTGCAGACCTGTCAACATTCCTCCTGTTTTCCACCTGGAGACAGCACTTACAT